GGGTGCGCAGAGCGGGACTGTCGCGCCCCGCCGCCCGGCCTGGCCTTGTGTGCCCTGCTCGGGGTGGCTGTGCCCCTCGCCTGCCCCCGGCTGCTCCCTTAAGCCGGGGTTGCGAGCCCAGAAACTCTTCTTCTCCCGAGGTGTTTACCCCTGTTTCATTTCCTTGTTGGTGACGGGAAGGACCCGGCTTCTCAGAGTAGTTTTTATTTGGTAGAAACATATTGCTCAATTTCCCTGTTGTTCCTTTAGCGCTGGTCGGCTGTGCCGCTATTTACAAAATAATGCAACAAAACCAGGCTTTAAGGTATTTGAGGGTGTTACGGATGGGTTTGTGAAAGAAGCGTCGGCAGTAGCTGCAGGATGGAGCAGGCGTTGAAGCGCTGTGGAGGGCGTCCCTGCCTGCTGCTCTGGCCTGGCCTTACTGCAGGCCCGAGCGTGGACGATGGGCTGCAGTCGGACCAAGGGTCACTGCACAGATAAAAACCGATGTTTTGTGCCCAAACGGAATGCCTCTCTGAAACCACTATTTTAGAAATGGGCCATCAAAATATTAGTCTTGATTACTGTAGACTGTATGCTGTCCCAAACCATATTTGATAGATCTCAGAAAGCTCCTTATTTTTTACAAAAGGGAATTAGCTTCTCTTCTTCTGTAGGTGTTGCAGATGGTTTGTGCAGTGTGTAGCTGAGTGATCATTTTGCATTAGGGAGTTAAAGGTACAGGAAAAAAAGGGATGCTGAGGGGGAAAATATATAGATTTTCCAAAGGAAGTATGTTCTGATGGAAGTTGGAAGTAACGAGGCAGACTACTGGGAAAATAAAAAAGGAGGAAAAAAAAAGGGGAAAGATAAAGGAGCATAAAGCATTTTAAGTGTCATGCATTCAAAATGCATGCTGTGCAATATTCTGGCTATTAGCATTATAATATGGATCTTGAATTAGAAGGCATGTGCATGTATGTGTATATATATTCTATGTATATAGAATGTTTCATAAATTTCAATTCTTTTATAGTGCAATTTACATTTATTTTTAACTATGAATCATCTATGTTTTGAGTTTCATAATGTGCTAAATCCTAATTCTTTTTTTTTTTTTTCAGGTGTCATGGAAAAACTTGGCCTTGGTCCAGAGGTTCTTTTGGAAGAGAACCCCAGGCTCATCTATGCTAGACTCACTGGATTTGGCCAGACAGGAAAATATGCCAAGTCTGCAGGTCATGACATCAATTATTTGGCATTATCAGGTAGGCTGAAAATATATTATGATTAATTTTTTTTGTATAAATCAAGGCTTAAAAATCTATTGAAAAATTTCTTGCAGATAGCTCAAATTACATGAGATATATAGCTTGGTGAAGCAGTTGAGCTGATCTGAAGCCTCACTGGCAAGAAGGAAGAGGTTCCTCCTTCATCCTTGTGCTTCTCTTTGCTCCCTTCCCTCCAGTGTGTGGTGCTTGCTTGACCTCTGCGAGCTAGCTCGGCTCCTGCGCATGTTAAAAACTGACCTAGGAAAAATGGGTTGAAGCACTTTACTAAGAGGTTGGGTGGACAAATGTTAAAAAAAATAAATAAATCAGCACAAGAAAGAGGAGGAAACTCAAGCTGAGCAAGGTGTTCATTTTTACAACAGCAGTGAGCTGTTAGGCTGGATCAGCGTGTCTTCTCAGACTATATTTTTCTCCTTTTGTGCTGTTTTATCTGAATATTTTTTTTTCTTTAAAGAGAACTGAAGTCTGTATGTATTTTTATCTTTTCCTTTGGGGCCTCTCTGCTAGAAAATCAATATATTCGTAGTCCCAGGAGGGTTGCAGGTTATTTTGCCTGCCTTGTGAGCAGCTGCTTTGAAATAAAGTAAAACTGCACAGCCTACAAAGCATTATCTTGTGCTTTTCTTCTGTGATTTTCTCCCCAATTATACTATTCTAAAGCAAAGCAGATTTAAAATAGAATGTTTTTCTGTCTGCAAAACTACATTGCCTTAGAATATTGTAAGACAGTACGCTCATTTAATGTGTGATTTTGCAGGTATGCAATATCAAACAATAACAAAATGACCCAATATTGATGGTAGCATTCAATTTGTGGTTGTGTATGGGTCCACTTGCTGCTTCTCACACTGCCAGCACTGTGTGTGTTTCTGTCTCTGCCCCTTTTCCAAGCAAGAGCAAAAGTGAGCCAAAATCTTGTGGCTAATTTCTGGATGCTGCATTTCCGTTAGCCCCAGGGAAGTGTCAGGGCAGAACTGGAAGAGATGTGGAAATCTGGTGCCCTCATCCGTGGGGATCCACTGTATTGGGCAATGAAGTTTCTTCAGTGCTGAATTCAGTCCTCTCTCATGGCATTAGATTGTGGGTGTATAAAAGAGAAAAAAGTCACCTTATTTGAAACACCTTTGACTTCATGTCTGCATGATTTTAAAAGTTTTGTGATAGTTTAGTTTGTTACATACTTAGGGAACAAGCATTGTCCATTGCAATCTTGGATGATAATCCTTTCTCTTTATTTTTTATTTTTTTTTAGTAAGTACAGTCTTGTTTAGTGCTATCTTGTAATTGAGAAAGGCCTTTTACAAGAAGGAAGTTCCAAGCAGTCAGACATGTCAAACTTGTTGATATTTCAAATTTAAATATGAATTATGTATCAGTACTTTTAAAGTGTAAAAGCTTATGAGATTTCCAGGTCAGAAGAGGAAATTCCTTTCTTTACAGGAATTAAAGAACGGAATGAGTTACAGAACCTTCACTGCACTTACTGTTTCACTGGTAGTGTTTCTCTTGCCAGACATCCTGGTGTAAAAATAAGTCTGTTTTTAAACACATGAACTCTCACTTTAATTAAGTCTTCTTGAAATTTCTCATAATCAGCTTTTCCAGCCAAATTAAAGGAAATGGGACAAGTTATTTGAGAGGTGCTCAAAATTGAGATGATCTCACATCTTGGCTATTTTCTGGATGGGTTTTCGCTTTCTGAAACTCAGAAGTGGCTTACATTAGAAATTCTAGATGTAAGTTAGTATGTTAATATGCTGATGCATGTGACAACCATTAGTTAAAAGTCAAAGTCTGGTCATTGACAGAGCTTTATACGTGCATTACAGTTCTGCAAACCTCCTTACACTGTACGCTCAGCTGCTTGCACTTAAATGCATTAGACTTTAATTAACCAAACAAGAATCATGCAGTTTGCCCTTAAGTTATACACATAGGTGAGACATGATCTTACTGGAGAGTTTCTTACGGAATTGTTATGAAGGATCTTCAAAGAGTGAAGTGATAAAGAAAAGATGGCAAAGAAATGCTGGCAGATGCAAAGCTCTGTTTTCTGCATAATTTCTGGCAGACACATTTTAACAGGATTATGGATATTCTTTTGTGAATGTGATTTTGTATATTCTTTTGTGAAAAAGGCTTAACTGGATTGGAATCAGAAAACAGTGTTGGGAGAAACTTGCTTTGTCCCTAATTTGCTCACATAGATTGTAGAGAATGATACTTCAATTGTAGGAATGTAGAAACTAAGATTTATAATTACATTTACTTTGCTTGCTATCAGGTGTGCTGTCAAAGCTGGGTAGAAAAGATGAAAATCCTTATGCACCTTTAAACCTTCTGGCTGACTTTGCTGGTGGAGGAGTCCTGTGTGCGATGGGCATTATTATAGCCCTGTATGAACGTACCAAATCTGGCAAAGGGCAGATTGTTGATGCCAGTATGGTAAGTTTTGTCTCATGGGGAGGGTGGTTTGCTGTTTCTTTTCTACTCTTTAAGTCGGTAAAATTGGTTTATGCCCCTGCCCTGCCCCTCAAAATTACACTGTCATCAATAATAGCCAAGAAATCAAATTCAAAACTTGTTTTAATAAAATATAGTAGACTGTATAGTCTACAGTCTATATATGCTTTATATATTACTATGTTGTCACACAGTATTATGTACTACTGTATATAGTATTAATAGAATAGAAGAGGATAGAAGAGAGAATAGAATAGAGTAGATAGAGTAGAAGAAATGACAGAAGGGCAACATGCAAATTTGTAGCAGTTTAATCATGAATGCTATGGATTTTTTCACTGCAAGGCCACTCAGTTTTCTGTAGATGAAAAATATTTACATTTATCCTTGAAACCCGTTGATACTATTATGTACAAGTTTTTTTTCCTGACTTGCACTTTTCTTTTTTATTTTTAAAAGGGCAGTGCAATTAAAATTTGACCTCTCTAGAGACAGTGTAATACAATGAAGGCTGTCATTTGGGTTCTAAGTGATAAAATTTAAAAAATCCTTTCATCGTAAGAGATCTTGAGGCTAGGGAATAGCAACAGACATTATTTGTTTAGCAGTTTTTTAACAGATTCACAGAACATTCTCAAAAGTAGGTCATGAAATTATGGTCTAGATGAAAATTGCATGGGAAGAGTGCAAAATTGGTCTAATCCAGTAGCTATTAAAGGGCAATTATCAAAATGGAAAAAAGAAATAAGTGGAGTTCCACAGGGTCTTTTGTTCTGTCAGTCTTTCCACTGGATGAGAGACTGCAAGATACACTTGTTAAATTTAAAGATGAAGTGAATCTGGGAGGAGCTACAAGCGTGTTGGGTGAAGGATTGAAATTGAAAATGGCCTTTACAAATCCGTGAAATGACCTGAAGAAATTGACTGAGCTTCACAGCGACCACTGCTGAGTGCTCCCGCTAGGCAGAAGTGATTAGCTATCCACCAAATACAGCCTGAGGACAATTAGCTAAAGTACCATCCTGGGGTTTACAGTAGTCACAAGCTGAACATGAGTCAACAGCACCACAGTACCATGATGTTGTGAAACACACCGACACTGTGTTAGGATATATAAACAGGAAATTGAACCGGCAAGGTTTCTGAAGTAAGTCTTCTAATCAGTTCCTCTATTCAGCATTTATAAGGCCTCAGGAAAATAGTGTCTAACACCGATGATCATTTTTTCAGGAAAAAATAAAAAAAGCAGTTGGAGGAAGCCCAAAGAACATACAGCAAAAATGACTGTGGGTCTAAAAAGCATGACCTGCAGGGGAAGACTGAAGGAGTTTACATATTTGTGAAGTGGAAACTATAAAGAGATAGCATAAGTCTTCAGATATGTACAAGGCTATTTCTTATGGCTGGGAGTATTACCTTATCTTTTCTATCGTTGCTTGAAGCCATTGAAAGAATTTGTTCACAAGAAGAATGAGTGCAAGGCCAATGATGTCCAAATGAAAGCTCTGGCTAGTTGGGAAAGGAATTTGTTGTGTTTTTTTGTTTGTTTGTTTTTGTTTTGTTTTGTTTTAAAACAAAAAAATCCTGGAAACTTCTCTACCATTTTTTTTTCTTGTCTCAGTAGTAGTTGAGGAATTTACAGTTCCCTAGTGATATTCCAAGCAAGCCCGGAAATGCTTATCTGGTGATACTGGACTTATATTACCTAAATTTTAGCTAAATTTTAGGTAAAATACACTTTCACTTGCACAAACTTTCTGTGAGATATTTGATTTAAAACATGTATGTGTCATCCACAACAAACACAGTTAAATAAGATGGGATGGCTGAGTCTGTTTCCGTTTCTAAATTTGATTCATGGAAGTAGGGTTTTCTTTTCCTTTCTCTTTTTAATACAGTAATGCAGCATCAACATATTTGAGCTGTCATTTAATTTTAAAGCTTTATTTAGTCGGTGTATTATGCTGCTGAATAATTGAGTTAATCTGAATACGCCAAGAACACATTGGGGAAATTTCTATGGTAAAAGAGGGAAAATTATTTTTCATAAGGTTTTGTCTTATTTCATGAAGAAAAAAGTGTTTTACTGGAGCCTTATTTTTTTATCGTAATGTACATGTGAAGAACTCCTGGTTAGCAAATCTGAATTATTACAAAAAGAGGGTAGAGAGGCAATCAGATCAAGGGCTGCATTTGCAACATCTCTTCACATTAGTCCGGTATAATTGCTACACTGCATAAAAAGTAAACACTGAGTCTTGCATTTTAGCTCTGCGGGATCAAACTTCTGGTGTGAACCAATTCATATTAGTTACTGTCTCTTCTTGTTGACTCTCTGAAAATGTGTGTATCTGATTACTCTTGCACACCAAGTGGGGTGCTGGATGAAAACTGTGGTAGGATACAGTCATCTTAGGGTGCTGAATAAGGGTGACTCCCCTCACTTCAGTCCCCTGTTCAGACACAGGGCCTTCTCACAGAAGGCATCTGACCGAGTCTTTCTTGTGAAAGAAGCCACAGGAGAAATTTTATCGACCACTTCTTGTATAGCAGCCTTGTGGCCAGGGCATTTCCCTGTCAGACACAAGACTGGACATCCAGGTTTTTCTCAGCCTCTAGGTATAGAAGACCAAAGCTCCCACATCCTAGAAGAGCTGCTCAGTCACAAGGCTGGAGTTTAGGTTGGAGTGGGTTTTTCTCAGTCATTTTGTTGGCCCTATTTTGCTCTGCGACAGGAAAGAAGAGCTGTGGTGTGGGGAGAGGCCACCCAGCAGCAAAGTGTACTGGGCCACCAATCCCTGCTTCACAGCCTCCTGGCGCTTGTAGCATTAGGAAGTCCTTGGGGAAAATGCATAACCAGTAGTGCTGTAATCATTGTGTAGTTAAGTGGAAGAGAAAAGTGACCACAGTGGCATGTGTGGAGTCATCTGAGATTGCCTTTGGGGTTCAGGGCAGAGCTTAGCCACCATTTTACTTGTCTCAGAATTGTGAAGGGCCTTGGGCACGTGCTGGGTGTCTGGTTGCTGAGCCTGGGATGCTTCTGAGAGCCAGTCAAGAAGAGATGCTATTTTACTGTAATTGTAGGCAAGGGTAGATGTTAGGGTAGGTAGGTAGGCATTCTGAATAGTTCTGACAAATTTAGACACCAAATTTGCAGTTTGAGTTTATTCTGAGTGTTAGCTCAATAATTGTTATCTTCCAATGTGTTTCATGTAATTTTTTGCTGATGTGTGTAATGCAATATATGATTATTAGAAAAGCAAGCAGTAAGTTGGTGGTCTTGCAGTTATTTTGCAAACGTGCTAGTGAAAGTGTGTAACCTTAAATCTTTTCAACATATAGCAAATAGGGCAAAAGTATTCCTGGCTTTTGACAAGAACTTGAGAGGAAGAAGACAACCAATGTATTTTAAATGAAGAAACCTTCATGGCTCTGCATACTTGAAATTTACGTCTTTTTAAAATTTATGCTTGGAAAGGTAGAAAGTTATAGATATTTCTACTTTAAAATTTAGCAGCTTTCTATTTACAGAACCTCTACAGACAATCTCAGATTAATTTTACGCAACTGAAAATGCATTAAACAAAATGATAGCTACTACTACATTTGAACAATTATTTCCAATTTGAGGGGGAAGAAAATTTCTAAGTATTTGATGATGTGAGGAGTGGGAAGTTAATTTTTTGCTCCAACTTAGCGATCTGGATGAGCTTCCTCATTCACACAGTATGAAAGAGACCTTTAATTTCTGATTTCCTTTCAATTTTCTGCTTCTAAAAATAGCAGTGTTATTATAATCAGGTAAGCTCAAGACAACTTGTTCATCTATAAGGACTGGTGTCAGCATCCTGCTTTCCATAGGTATAAGGCTTGAAGGCTAACGGGTACTTAGTGTTCTAGATGCCAAGGAAGCTTGTTCCATCACCTAAAATGTGAACATGTATGTGAGCAACTAGTTGTTATAAAGTTGCTAATCTAGGAAACTGAAGTGGTATTGTTATACTTATACCTCTTGTTATTCTTTAGTAGTAAAAAAATTGACATATGCAATACCAGCTGTGCTTCGCAAGTATAAGAAATGAAAATGCTTTTAAGGTTAAAAATCTTAAACCCAGGCCAGACTAGCTGGTGAGTGTTTGCAGTCTTGTTTCATGTCAATTAAGGCAATATTCAGCTAATTTATTGAAGTGGTTGTTTACTTTTTTTGTATCTTGAAGGTAGAAGGAACAGCATACCTGAGTTCTTTTCTGTGGAAATCACAAAATTTAGGACTTTGGAACAGACCCCGCGGTGAGAACTTACTAGATAGTGGAGCTCCTTTTTATGAAACCTACAGGACCTCTGATGGAAAATACATGGCTGTTGGTGCCATCGAGCCGCAATTCTACGAGCAGTTAATAAAGGGTAAGTAGCTTGGAGCAGCTGTTTCACATCCACTAAGCATGATTGAATAGATACTTTTTAACTGAATTTTGATTTAGGACGTTTGTTGTGTTTTTTGTCTTTGTTAAAGCCAAACCCTTTCTGAAACCAGTTGGGTAGAGTTGTTTCTTTCTGGTTTAGTTCCTTTTTCTAGCACTTGGGTTTTTAGTTTTTAATCCCTTTTCTTCCAAAGTCCTGGTATTGCTAGTCAAAGATGGGGCTGAAGCACTGCACAACTATTTTAAAATAGACTAATATGGCAAATAAAATGTCATACAGTTTCATATATTTTTGCTATACAAAAGTTTAAAGAAAATTTTATATTATTTTTAAAATGAGTGTTCCCTTGAAATATCCCATAATATTTTTGATAAAATCTTCTAAAATGAAAATCAGCTTTATAAACTGATTTTCACCACAGAATTTCAGAATACTTTTAGAGTACAACTATATGGATTTGACTTTTATGTTTGACTAAAGAGCTTTAAAATAACTTTATAGAGTATGACTTACATGTTTTTAAAAATTAGATTGGGTCATGCAAAATCATTTTATAAGGCTAATACTGAAGTTAGCAGTGCCCCTTTACCTTCGAACCAATTGCATAGTTTCAGGTTTAGACCAGCTGTGCTCTTAGTTTCTTCCTGGTTACTTCATTTAAAAATAATTTCCTGTTATTCCCCTTTGATAAACTGTTATGCTTTCCATGCTGAATATATGGAAGTTTTAAAAATCCACAAAGAATTTGAGAGTTAATTTTCCTTTCCCAGTATTTAGGATATAAACCATGTAAGAAATCCATCTTAGCCTAATTTTAGTTCTATTTAACGAGTAGGACAAAATCCATGTAGGAGATACCTACAGTGGATGTACCTAGGCTATGTTACGGGGTCACTTTGATGTGTAGAGTTAACGTGGCAGCTCTCGGCTGGGCAAAGGTAACAGTGAAGCAACTCTTGACTCCGGCTCAACATTTCTCCACAAACTATTACTGGAATTGCAGGCTGGGTGCCTTCTCAAGGCAAGTACTGCCAGGCAACTCAGTCCCCCACGGCTCTGTTGCACTAATGAGAGCATCGGCAGTGCCAGGGCTTGCATTTCCAGAAGGGTTTGAGATTCAGGAACATGGTCAAGGTGGGAGGTGGGCACGGGAGGACATCTTCTGTTCTTTTTGATGTTGCTCTTTTGCAGATATTGAGCTCCCAAAGAAACATTTGTGCAGTAAATGGCTGCTTCTATAAATGGCTATAAAGCGCTATTTATTGCAGAGAATTTTCACAATTGCAGAGAATATCCAAACTCTTGTATAGTAGTTTTATGTATGCTGATATAGGAAATGCATAATAGTCCATTAACCTCATGGACTGAGCTGTTGACATGTTCAACATGATGTTATACACCCAGATCAGATGCCAAGTTTGGGAGAACTGTGGTTTTGGCTGAGTTAGTGCTCCTGTTTCTCATTGTCCTGAGAATACCTTGCTTGTTAGGCTGCAGATCTAAGCCACTCCTTGAGAAAGTGTAGTTGTTTTTTTCCACAGTTACTGGTTCTTTGAAGTGTTATTCTCATCTAATCCCCTTTTGCTTGCAATAAATAGAGCCAGAGAACAAAAATAATTCAATACAAAATCGTCAATCGTTGCTCTGAAAATTAGGGAATTTGTGATTCACGTCCTTCTTCAGGCAGAATGCCTATTAAATACGAAGAAGGAAAGAGGAAAGAAAAAACTAGAAAAAAACAGTTCTACTTACTCAAATACTCCTTGTTTGGTCTAAAGTTCATGGCTGCAATATTTATCGTATGCTTCTCTGGAGATTAAGTTGAATAGCAAGTGCTTTTAAGGTACAGAAGTGGGATAAAAACTATATGTTAGGAGGAAAACGCAATCTGTAAAGGAGTGTGGGCTCAGGCTTTTTCCAGTCAACTGGAAAGGTTGTCTAGGTGGACACCCTAGGATAGTTGATTCCAGTATTTGGACAAAGTAATATAGTCTGACTGGTTTCTATCTCACGTAGGTATCTCTTTACTGCAGAAAATGTTGAAATTCTGTTTTTCTCTTGATGTTTTCTCAGAAATTTGGAGTATAAAGTCAGAGCAGCAACTATGAATCCATCAGCCTATATCAGGGTACCCATATTTTTCATATTTTTCATGTTTGAAAATATTTCCTATACTTAAAACACACAAGAATGGCTTGATTTTCAAAATGCTTCAAATTTTTTAAAAACATTTTTTTTCGCACAATAAAAGACAAGTGTATTTGCATGTGTGTAGAAAAGTGTAATCACATTTGTGACTGTGTCTGTCAGCATTTGTCAGATTCAAAAATTCAGTATGTAGACTACAATCTTCTACCAAAAAACATGCTTTTGGTATTACAATTTTTGCTTCCAGTCAATAATTTTTATTTATTCATTTTATGAAAGAGCGTTATTGAAAGCTTCAGACTATAAGCAGATTTTTTTTTCACAATGTTGCATTTAAAATAGATGGTTGTTTTCACTGTATTTTAAGTACACATTGTGAATTGTTCAGATTTTCACATAGGAAATAATTATCACCTTCAGTAGTTCTGCTTCTAAGCTTCTGAAGCAGTGATGTACCGAATTAGAACAGCTGATTTTTCTCATAGCTAAGATAGCTTTTTCCTTTCAGGGATATCTAGTGCAGGAAGTCGGTTTAGAATTTAAGCCTTTAAATGTCAGACAGAAGAAAAAGCTGCTTGTAAGAATGTTCCTCAATGTTCCTTAGTGTTCCTCAAACCGAGAAACTTCTGTTTAGACTGAGTGGTCTGTTCAAGGCTTTTATTCCTTGCTTGAAGTAGTTGTAAAATACTGTGTTCCAGTTACAATTTCCATGATTTCATTTCATCCTTTTTTTTTTTTTTCATATTTCTGGTCAGTTCTGTTGGTGAACAACTTGGTGCTGTTCCAGATAAAACATATTCAGAAGCCACTTTATGTCCATCTGTTCATATTCAGAGAAACGTGCTACCTCTGCCACTCCCATATAATGAGAACAAAAGAATGTGGGATGTGCAGAAGTAGTGGACAAAGATTGAAAGATTGCAAATGTGGAAAAAGTGATGGAAAAGTGGTGGAAAGAATGGTGATTTCTGCCCACAAAACTCGATTAGCAAAAGTGAAACTAATTTCCATTTTCCTTTTGCTTCACTTTTGTGGTTCCCTGTAGAATTAGGAACCCAGGTGAACCTAGATGAGAGTGCAGGTAATAAAAAAGAGGGGAAGACTCTAAAGGGGGCTATAAAGAGGAAAGCGTAAGGTTTAAGAAAATACTTCATCTTAATTTTGAGAAAATTTGCTGTATGGATCATGCTTGCCAGGGAAAGTAAAGTTTCCGCTTACCACCAAAACTTGGCTATGAGGAAAAATTGAAGCTATATAAAGTAAATAAGGTAAACTCCCATAATAGCTGCAGTATAAGAAATTATATTCTGAACTCATTGTAGACTATTTGCTGTTTACAAACATGCTGTAGTCATCTTGCTTACAGTTTGTTACTAGTAAAGTCAGCCAGCATATAATGAAAATATCATGCATCTTATGAGAAATCTGATGAAAGAAATACGTATTATTAAGGCTAGGTCTCCATTTTTTGATTAATTAAAAAAAAGTCTTCCAACTTCCAGATCGCTTCTGTGATCAAGTTTATCTTGATTTTTAGCAACATGTGCTTAGTTATTCCTGTGACCAGGCTAAGAGGAACGTGCAGAACTTGGTATTTTCATGTATCAGGGAGAAGGTAAGGATGTGATTCTGCATCACCATGTGGTGTAAATTCATTTACATAAGATGAAGTTAGTATAAACTTACCCTGCAAACTTGGATGGCAGCTGTGGATGCATTTGCAGTGATGCAGTGGTAGCAGTCTGGTTCTAATCACGCTTTTGATGAACCATCATTTTTTTAATAAAAATCAAGGGGCTGGGAGAACAAATACGGAGATACTTCAATGAAAATTCACTGCTGTTTTGGACTATTCCAAAGTTTAATTCCCTGTGAGAGTGAACATGAATTGCATTTATGTAGAGCAATGATATGTATTTTATGGTTGTACTTTGCCATAAAAATAGTCATGCTTAGATGATTCTGTTGCCCTGTCATTACAACATCATTTAAAAATTACTGTGCTATGAGTGTATTGCTTGGAAAAGAAAATCAGAATGCTAGAAGAAGAAAATCCCAAACAAAATCCCACCAAGGTTCCTAAATATAAACCACTGTTGTTGAAATACTGTGAGAAATTATTATTTCTGTTTTATCACACCAACATTGCTGATTTATCTGTCGAATTTTCTTTTCTCTGTTTTTTGAATAGGTGCCTAGTTTCACTGCAGTTCGTCTGAGAAGTTCTGTAAAAACAAATTTGTAATTTGCTGTATTAAACAATTGCAGATCTGTCTCAATACAGCTATAGCATACAAGAGAGACTTTTTTTTTGAAAACCACAGTTTCAAAGCTGTAGTGGGATAAATTATTGGCCTTTTCTAAAGAAAAATCCCTAGACCAAAATCCGAGCAGGTTTTGATTTCTGTACCAGATTCTCTGCATAAAAGATACTTTGCTTTTGGTTATATTGGTGAAATATGTCATTCTGTGGTATCCCAAGCAATTCTGTGCTGTGTAATTTTTTCCCTGTTGACTCAGTTGCTCCTGCTGTGATTCCGTTTTCTGTACCGCAGATGCTTAGAACAAGGTGGAAAATGAGAAGCTTCAGTGCTTAAATGCTTTGAGTTCATACTGTTTAAAAGCTCCTGAAATCCTCAGTGGGTGGTGGAAAATGAGCATGTAATATTAAATTCCAGGTTCTGCATATTGTTCTTTTTAGCTGAGCATGCAGGGTTAGATTCGGCCAACTTTCCATCTGGTGTGATCTTCAAGTGTAATTGTGTAATATGATAATGATAGAGTTATATTCATAAGGTTCTGACTCCTAGAAGCCGGAACGTAATTAAGCAATCAATATTTATCATATTGATGTTTGCAATTGAGACAGAATCATGGCTAGTAGGTTGTTACTTAGCTTTACTTGTTCTGGGATGTAAATTTGTCTCGCCTCCTAGTCCTTAAGTAGAGTGTCTAGCACTATTGATCTTTAATAATATATTCTGAGTGAAGATTAATCAAATTCATTTTGTATCAGTGGCTTCAATTTAATTTTAGATGCTGAACCCGTAATTGTAATCTCCAATTAATTCTTACTTAGAATGATAAGAAGTGCTATGAAGAGAAGATTTTAAGTTTAGAGATAACAGGTACACATACTTGGTAACTAAGTATGGACTAATGCTTACCTTTTAATGATATTTAATTTGATATCCTTAGGAATTTCTATTAAGATATGAAACTATTCATTCTGTCCTTGGTTGTATTGATTTTCCTCTAATTTCAAACAATTGCATGGCAGAATTTCTGAGTCATTTCCTGAAACTGGCAATTTCTGTGTGTTTTTCTTTGCAGTACGGAAGTAAGATTTAAAAGTGTGTATTCATTTTTCAAACACTTGGAGTCTGATAGATCAGAAAGCCACTAAATATTATGGTGCCTTTAGAACCGGGAAGAGATAGAGCCCCAAGAAGGACACGTAGTAGAGATTAGATTATCAAGAAAAAGAATAAATTTAAAGAGCAGATGATTATATTCTCCCCTGTAGGAGTTATGTTTCTGCCCTTTTCAGCGATGAGGAAACTGAGGAAATAGCAGAAAATATAGAAAGCTTTTTGTGTCTATTTACAGCTGAAGATGCGAGGAGTTCTGTGTCAGTTCTGCACGCAAACAGGCATCTGGTAGGCAAGCCTGCTGCAAACACTGAAAGTCCAGTCATCAGTCTGACACCAGTCACAGCAACAGAGACAAGAAAAAAGATTCAAAATTAAATGTTCCCAGAGCAAACATATTCTCTGCATTTTGCACAGAACTGTTGTTTTCTAAAAAGTTCCAATTTTTTGTTGTCTTGTAAAACATGATAATAGCTATTCTCAAGCCCATCTTAAGTTCTTAACTGTACATGTTTTCTATCCCTGCGTTTTCTGATTTTCTTTTCCCCCTCACTTCTTTCAAAGTGCTATAGCTGTGACCATTTGGACCTAACACTTATGAATTCTGTTTGATATTATACACTCAGTGTCCCTCTGTATGCTGCTTACATTTTAAAACTGGGTTTTAATTGCTTTCCTCTCTTTTTTGTTCCTTATAAGAAAAGTAAACAATTCTTGTGTCTGTGGTAGGCTCCATGCCAGTGGTAGGCTCCAGAATTGTCATAATCTCCTAGATAGCTGCTGGAGTTGGTATGGGACCTAATAAGGTGCCCATTTTTCCAAGCCTGCACTCCCCGAGTAGGCAATACCTGATTGCACTGGCTGCAAACACTGTAGTCTGAATGGCCAAGTAAGGCAGATTTACTGACTTCTGGGACTTAAATATCCTGCAGTAGCCATCGACCTGTTCAGTGGATGGTTGCAGCAGCTGCTAAATGTGTTACTACTGCTGGATAGATAACACAATACCTATTACAGCAGATGTTCTCAGGACAAAATGTTCTTTCTAGGCAGCTGCTACCCTTATAAGACATTTATGCGAACAAGTGTTTATTATATGTACTTAGTTAGAAGGCCATAGCTGATGCAGTCTAGTTTAAGAGCAAGTAATAGAGCATGGCATTCTTCTTGTCTCTGCCTGTGCCTCCCCCAGTCATAGATGTGAAGTTTGAAGTGACTCTGAGCGTGCTGGGCAGCATTAGACTGCCTGCAAAATACTAGTTTCTTCAGAAACACTTAGTTTTGGGGAACTTTTTGTTTTATCCAAACTCTGCTATTGTTAAATCTTGTTTTTTTTTTCTTTTCAGGTCTTGGGCTAGATTCAGATAAACTTCCTAGTCAGCTGAGTTTCTCTGACTGGCCCAAAATGAAGAAAATGTTTGCATCCATATTTGCACAGAAGACACAAACGGAATGGTGCAGCATATTTGATGGCACTGATGCCTGTGTGACCCCTGTTTTATCCTTTGATGATGCTGCCTCGCATCAACATAACAAACAAAGAGGTTCTTTTATCAAAAATGATCAGGAAGAGATAAGTCCTAGACCTGCTCCTCTCCTTTCACGGACCCCAGCAGTTCCATCTTTTAAAAGAGATCCTTTTATCGGAGAACACACAGAAGAGAAACTTCTAGAATACAGATTTACCAAGGAAGAGATTGCTAAGCCTCATTCTGATAAAGTAATTGAATTCAGTAAACCGAAAGCTAATTTATAATCTCTAACTACGCCAATCAGAAGAATTTCAGATGGATGCAATAAGATATTATGCATTAAAACTGAATTATATGACAAATAATATTTGTATGGTATTGCTTTTAAATGAATGTTTTAAATGAATGAAGATTTAAATTTAATTGAGAACCTGTACAACTGGATGACTTTCACTGGACTATACCAACCGTGTTCATAATACATCTAGAACATTACTGAAATTGCATTCTGGAAATCTGCACTTTTTGTTTACTAAGTAGATGTAAATCCTCATAATGTTTCTTTAAATAACATATTCTGCAAAATGGTTGTTTCTTTTAATATGAATTCTTAGTTACACAGTTGCTTTGTAATATATTTTGTAATTACCTGAAGGTAATACTTTTCATAAAATACAGTCATGTGCTTCATAAATGTGTGATTGTGTTGTTTGCTCAAAGATGGGAAGGGATTTTTATCTCTATTGTGCTGGTGCATTTGCACTGTTGTGCTGGCACAGTGGTCCAAATAATGAGCCTGTGTCCTTATGCTCCACTCTAGAGTTTGGTGTGGTGGTTCTATTTAAGAGCTTGACTACGTTTTCTACATTTGGAATTTCACTTTGTCTGGAAAAATGCTTCAGGATGAAATTTGTTGCTTTAAAATAGTTGCCAATCCTTTTCTGTCTTTTGGAAAAAGTGTAAGGAAGCTTAGCTGCGCGAGCTTTAAACAATGGCGATTCCATGCTGGTGGTTGTTCCTTCAAAATTAGGAGTTACTTGAAGCAGCCTTTGTTTCTTCAACTTATTTTTGGAAAAAAATGCATGGTCTTAATACAGTTTTCTTTAGTTAGGCATATCAGGAGTTAAATTCCAAGGGGTTGCTTATTTTTTGTATCGTAGTGTTTACCATGCTAAGTATCAGTTCGTTAGTTACAAAAACTTCAGAGCTGAGGTATGTCTATTTGACATACATCATGCCAAAGTGTCAGCCTTATTACTGTAAAAAATACCTTTTTATATTTTGCCACAGAACACCTACATGAGAGCAAGAGTTGTTTAGTAGATCCTAACTACAAGTAGGTCCTAATCACGTAAGCAAATAGCAAAAGGTGTTTAAGTTTCAGCTGCTAACTACTCTAATGAGTTATTCAATGTTATACATGTTTGCAATAAGATTTGGCAGTTTTCTTTGACCCAGATGTATCTGATTACATGGAGAACAACAAACATCATCAGGTGTAAACTGCAGTGCATCTAGGTTTTGACCCAACGCAAGTGAAGCCAATTTAAAAACTCCTGTTAAATCCAGTATAGCCTGGATGAGCTGCGTTGTGTGGGTGGCTGAAATGCAAGGTTTGGTTTTGGTGCATCGCCACAGATTCCTGTTGAAGCCTTCTGTTCTCTTGTGAGGAATACTGCTTGTTATGCGCCAGGTAAGACTGTTTTTAAAAAAATAGGGGATCCTCATCCCCTTTGTTTTTTCAGAAACCAAGAAAGCAATTGGTTGCAGTGAGAGTATCACACAACTGACACAAGAGAGGTACTCAGCAGTTGGCTCTTGGCAGACTTCTGTCAAGCTTTTTTATCTCTCCCTAACACTCCAGGGTAATAGGTAGGTTCACTTACCTACCTGAAGTGCACTGAAATCCCTTCCTGAATATATGTTTATAGATACCTTTATAGATACCTTTTTCCCCACTTTTCT